TAAAAATATGTCCTCTAGTTTTGTTCTCCCCTAACATCGGAAAAAAAGATCTTTGATATTCACATTACTGATGGCCCTCATAATTAAAAAAAAAACTCTAAAATGATACTCCCCAATCTCCTGCTTTCGAGAAAAGAAAATCCCAGCCTGCTAGCCTCTCTTTTTCACTCAAATCCACCAATCCCAGCAACAACCTAATCCAATTTAATATGATCTTTTTCTCCAGAGAGCGACCGGAAATGCAAAGAGTATTCCAACATTAACCTCATCAGCTAGCTTCAGAACCTCATCATGACGTCCCAACCCCGAGACTCAATGGTATGAATCATAAAGGTAAGCGTGCTAAACGTCTTCTTTACCAACCTGTCTACATGTGACGCAAATTTCACAGAACTCTGTTTGGGAACCTCAAATTCTCTTCATTCGACAATATCACCCATGACTGTATTATTAACTGTAGAAGTCACAGACATCAGAAGGTGCCTGGAACGTGGTGACATGGGAGTTGGTAAGAGGAGAAATGAAAACAATACTTTCGAGGCAGTTGGACAGACATATGAATAGGCATGCAATTGGGGATATGGGACATGCGTAAAATACGATAATAATGGTCAGAGAGGGATGCCAAAGGGGGAAATCAGAGCACGGCGCAAGGGATGGGAAGGAGACAGAGAAAGACATTCAGGCCTGATGTCATTGATAGATATGGTCATAATATAGAACAGAGAAGAGAGTAACATAGAGTAGGCTTTGCAGACAAATTGCCTGCGCCGACCATGATGCTGTTCTAATTTAATCCCATGTGTCTGCGTATTGTCCACATCTCTCCCATCTCTGTCTGTTCATGCGCCCGTCTAAATGTCTTTAAAAAGTTACTATCATAATTATTCATTCCAAATCCAAAGGCAGCCCATCCCAGGCATGTACTGTCGTGAGTTTAAAAACATTTCTCGCACATCTCCTATCAATTTTCAATTTTCACTCACCTTGAACGTATGTTACACTCATCTTGAACGTATGTTGCTATCATTTGATCTACTCACCGTGTGGAGCCTCTAACTAGCCTCTTTATCCGTCCCTCTCATAATTTTAATGAATTACATCAGTTCAACCCTTCAGTTTCTGACGCTCTAATGAAACAATCCAACTTTAGCTAATGTCTCATTATAGCTAATACACTCCATTTGAGACAATATTTTGCTGAATCCCTCGGAATTCTATCCAAATTATCCACATTCTTCCTATTGTCCAGTGAGAAAAACTGCGCACCGTACTCCAAATGTGCACAGAATGCCAAATCATCAATGTGCCATCGCACCCCGATCATAATTCCCTTCAACCTCTTCTGTCAGGCAGAAGATACAGAAGCCTGAATACACGAAGGAAAAGGTTCAGGAACAGCTTTTTACCAGCCGTTCTAACACTGATGGATAGATTCTCCATTCTCAAATAATGGTTGATCTTGCCAACGTTGATCTCGCCTTGAGCACTCTATATGGAATTTAACCTGTACCTCTGTTTAAATTGTTTTAATCTGTACACCATTTCTTACGGTTATCTGTCTGTACTGCTCATAAAGAAAGCCTTTCACTGTACTTTAGTACACGAGACAATAAACCAATCAATCAATCAATCGTAAAAAGATGGAAGATGCCATCGAAAATGCTATCAAGTAGCAAATCCTTAGCGATAACCTGCTCTGTGATTCCCAGTTTGGATTCTGCCAGGGCCATTTAGTTCATGACCTCAACGGAGCTTTGATTCAAAAATAGGAAAAAAGAGCTGACTTCCATAGTTGAGGTAACAGTCTTAGCCTTTGACATCAAGCCTGCATTCAACCGAGTGCGGCATCAACGAGCCTTGGAAAGATTGGAATCAATGGGTATCTGAGGCAAACTCTCTACATGTTGAAGTCAGACCTAAAGATTGGAAGATGGTCATGGTTACTGGAGGCCAGTCATCTAAGCTCCGGGAGATCTCTGCAGGAGATGCTCAGGGAGCAGGAGGGAGATGCAGAGAGAAACAGGGGGAGATATAGGTGTACAGAGGGAGGAGGAGAGAGAGAGATAGAGGAAGAGGTGTAGAGAGAGTAAGATAGCGAGGTAGAGAGCCCGTGGGAGAGAGGAGTATGAGAGGGGGAAGAGAGAGGGAGACGAAGAAAGCCAGAGAGAGAGATTAAGAAAAATGTCTCCTAAATGTTCCCGTGTGTTTAAATTGATATGATGCTACCTTCTGTTGGTACACAGGCACCACTGCACTGGAGATGCTGGAGCTTGAAAACAACCAGGGGTTCAGTAAGAAAGACAGAGACAAAGAGAGAGAGAGAGATACAGAAGATAGAGAGAGAGAGCAGCTCGCAACAGCATCAACAGACACAGATACACATGCAGACACAAACCATATTGACACAGGCAGTGCATAGAAATAGACAACCACGCACCACACCGACAGAGGCGCAAACACACAATACACATACACACATCCGCTGCTGCTCTGGAGACCATTAGAGATATACTAAGAGTTCCCATACTTAAAATCAATTAAGATTTTAATGACAACCATTAAATGGAGTGTTTCGATTGCAACTGCATCCAGACAACATGAATTTATTGGAAATTTCTGGAACTTTTAATGCACTTTAGTCTATTTTCTCAAATTCAAAGTGAGAAAATAATTCAAAATTGTAGGAAGTGAGACCAGCCCTGGGTTTGCTCATCGCCTTCTGCTCATATCTCAGTGTATAGGATGGGCAGAAGCGCGAAAAGTCAATGACCATATCTGACAACTGCGTGGGAAATGAATTATATAACATGGGCTGAAGATATACAATTGTTGATGATACTCGAAAAGCTGCATGACCTTGAAAGAGTCCTGTGAACATTCCTTTATGAGCCGAAGATGACACCTGCAGCTTGTTTTCCTGCAGTTGCGTTTTATGCACGAGCCAACAGTTTTGTCTTTCTGTATCTGCTTTCTTTGCGCTGACTGTTTGTTACATTGTATGAGAGAGAGAGGAAGAGTTTTGGTCCAAGTGTTGAACTTTGCCTTGTCTCGAATCGCGAATGGTGCCAGGAACGAACTTAAGCCTTCAGACCAGCCATCGATCGAGGGGCCCCCGACGGGCAGAAGGGCGTGGTTTAGTTGCCTTTTCGAGAAAGGACATGCTGCTTTTTCTAGAAGGATGTGAGACTATTTTCATTTTCCTTTTCTCTTCCATATCTTATTACCACAGCAATCATTTAATATTATGTAATAAACATTCATATTTAAGCAAATTGGAGTTCTCGAGTCTTCTCTTAATTATATTTAGTCGAATCTGAAACTAACCACTTGGATACACTCTTGTGTAGTGGCGTGGGGAGGCCACCAGAGGGTGGCACTGCATCAATTTAAACACAAGGCAGAGGTCGGTGCAGAGAGTCAGAGAGACTGAGAGAGAGAGAGTGAGAGAAGGAAAGAGAGACTGTGTTCTCTCTCTCTCTCTCTCTGTGTGTGTGTGTGTGTGTGTATGTATGTGTGTGTGTGTGTCTGTGAGTGAGAGAGAGAGAGACACTGAGCCTTTGATTAATCACTTATCAATTCATCTTTCATTCAAACTTCCCTCCAGGACAAACTTTGTCTGATTGCAGCCAGGGATACACCTGCAGACATACACATACAAAAACACTGATGCACACTTATGGAAACACACATCAGCATACTCATCACCATTGTGTCACTTTAAACGCAAGAGGGACCGACACGGAGAAGGTGGGAGGAGGTTAAACCCATATCTATCGAATCACCCTGAAAACAACAAACAAACAAAATGCTGCCTCTCACATCTCCTTTAAACTTTCCCCATTTTACCTTTAGCCAATATTCCCACGCAATTGACACTTCTACCCCTGGGAAAAAGATTCCAACTGTACGTTCTATCCATTCCTCTCAACATTTTGTGAACATCTATCAAGTCGCCTCTCAGCCTCCGACGTTCAAGTGAGAATAAATCCACTTTAGTCACTCTCTCACTGTACCACACACCCTGCAAACCAGGTAGCATCGTGGTAAACCGTTTCTGTAGCTTCTCCGAAACTTCCAGATCCCTCTGACAGTGTTGCGAACAGAACTGAAGAAAATATTCCAAATGTGGTCGTACTAAATTTCGATAGCAAGCAACCTAACTTTTAAAAAATTATACCTATTTCCCCGATTGTTGAAGGCAAGAATGCTGTACACCTTCTTGACAATTTTATCCGCTTGCGTTGCCACTTTCAGCGAACTGTGGACGTGTTCACCCAGAACCCTCTTATTGTTGATATTCCTATGATTTCTGCCGTTTACTGTGTACTTCCGTCCTGCAATAGGGCACCAAAATACACACATAAACACAATTACACTCACAGACACGCAATCACAGATAATCACACGCACTCTTACTCACTCACTGACATTCTCACATATTTACTGTGGGACTTACGTCTTCAAAGAGACACAGAATCAAAGCACAAACATGAAATAGCTGCAGTTTTATTGATGGAATTCAGTTTACACTGTATATCATCACTGACAGAACGATTGCCCGTTCATTGAGAAGATAGCGGTGAAGGCAACATTTTTATTCAATAAATAGCGACACAACAGCTAGCAGTATTGTTTCGACAACTATTAACTCTCGTTCATGGATTTGAAAAAAATTAAGCAATTCCACATGGAATTCCTGAAAATACTTCATTCATTAATTATAGAGACGTCGCCCTCAATACAGAGTCAATCAATCCATAAACAAAAGTGAATTAGGTAATTATTCCAAGTACTAAAACGATCTCACAAAGTGATTTTATTTCCTCTGTTAACTCATGACAACACACTTGAGCAAAGGAGAGAACATTACTATAGTCAGTTCAATACAAAGAAATGTGGATGCATTACAATCAGGAAAAGCTCATGTTGAGAAAAATAAAATTCAGTATTTTGGAAATGATAGTGGACGTCTTCTCGCAATATTATCTGCCTTCGGACGTTCTGTGTTGAAATAGATTCTAGCATTTACCTGAAATGATAAAGAAAATGGTTTGAGTCACTTGAGGTCATTTTACCTGTGGCCCTATTTACAGCACATAAAACTGTAAATCGCCATCTGAAGCTCTCAAACCAAGGAATTGGGAACAAGTCAGTGTCTAACTAAGCAATGGCTGAGTGATGAAAGGCCATCTTTTAAAGGGGATATTGAAGTGTGCATCGATCTGCGCGTTCAGCTAGGTGCAATGGACAACCTGGTATCTATCCTGAAGAGGAGTAAAGACGTGTGCAGCAAGTGTTGACACAACCAATGCCTTTTCAACAATCTATAATCTCACTAAACGTTTACACAGAAATTAACGCTTTCTGGTTTGTATGAGCTTACTGTTGGTATGCTGGCTGTGTCAGCAGAGAGGATACTTCCAAAAGTACATCATTGTCTATGCATTACCTTGCACTTGGGGACGTGGTAGAAAGTGCAACATAAGGAAAAGTCTACTGTTTCTTTCACTCTGGTAAAGCAGTCTCAATCTTCTATGTGGTAGTCGGAACTGCCGATGCTGGAGTCTGAGATAACAACGTGTAGAGCTGGATGAACACAGTAGGCCAGGCAGCATCAGAGGAGCAGGAAAACTGACGTTTCGGATCTGGACCCTTCTTCAGAAGTTGTGATTTTGTAAATGTTTTGGATGTAGGAGTGGAAGGGCGGATTCGTAAGTTCGTGGACGATACATAGGTGGGTCGAGTTGTGGATAGTGCGGAGGGCTGTTCTAGGTTACAAAGGGACCTTGATAGGATGCAGAACTTTGCCTTTTTCTGGACCCTTCTTCAGTTATCCTGTGATAACTTTCAACACTACATAATGCTCAATATACTTCATAATTTTAAAGAGAGCCAGAACATCCTACTCTCTCCTCTGCATCGGAAACATTGGAACTAATGAGAAAAGGTAGCCCTGATCGTTTTGAGGTGCTCACTGTAAAATTGTGCATCACACTTTCAATGCAGGTCGATACAGAAGGCAAAGTGGGTGCGTGAATTTTCAGAAGGAGAAGGATGGAGTTTGTGTGAGGGCATCAGAGGTAATGCTGCAAGGCCAGCTATTGCATGTGCTGCCCTGGGCGGAGATGATTCAAGCTCCTTTGAGAGTTATCCAGGGAAGATGTACAATACCAGTGGCACTCAGGAGAATTATGCGGCCATTTGAAAGACTGCATCATTGAACTATAGAACCTTACTGTACAGATGACGTTCTTAGCCCATCAAGTCTGTACTACCAAAGATATGCTACTACTTATATCAATCTCAATTTCCTGCACGAGCTCCATAGTCTTCAATTTTCTAACACTTCAATTACTGGTGACATTATTTTTAAAGAACTTGAAGTATTCGTGGAAGTATCTCTTAAAAGTGGTAAGGTATCCCGCCGCAACTACCCTCACAGACAGTGCATTCTGGACACCCACCTCTCTCTGGGAAATTATCTTCCTCACATCCCCGCTAAACTTCCTGCCTTTCAGTTTTAAATTATGTACCATTTGTTATTGACCCTTGCGTCAGGTTATAGTGAGGAGCAACTGTTGTTAATAATTTTCACGTTCATTTCGGATTTTATTTGCGACTTAGATGATACATTTAAATATTTTAACAACTGGAAGTATAATTGGAAAAATCGAATACATACGGTTATTTTTCACATTTGACAGAGATCAACATGAAGTGACGTTAAAGATGAAAAACAATTATAGATGATGCAGTAGCTTGACTGGCCTGTTGGAGATTTTGAATGTGACTGAGCAGCTAACCAGATAGTATGGATTTTCGTGACAAGGACGTTCATGAGCTACTGACATTTATGACGTTCAATTTACAGAGATTCATTCCTCGTCGGGAATTTACATTATTCAATTCCTCAGAAGAACCACATGAAATCCATCTGTCGTTCTATTTTACAAATAAAGATCGGCAGGGTCTGTGTTGACAGTAAGCAGCAAGAACTACAATGTTTTAAAACGTCAAGCTTTAAAACCCAACCTTCCAGTTTCCCCATTTAGATTACGGTGATTCATTGTATCAGCAGTTTTGTAGATTTGTAACCTCACCAAGGGTTGAAGACAGTGTTGGCTGTTCAAAGAGCTGACAAAATGCAGATTCTAAGATATATTAGCTTATTTCATTTTTTGAAGGTAATTCTTCGTGATGTTGAAATTAAGATCCGTCTCCAGCAATATGGCTGTTTCTGAATGAAAGTTGTGGAGATAATGCTCTGGGAGTTTTGAAATAACAAGGTGTAGAGCTGGATGAACACAGCAGGTCAACCAGCATCAGAGGAGCAGGAAGGCTGACGTTTCGGGTCGAAAGCCTTCTTCAGAATTGGGGGAGGGGAAGGGGATTCTGAAATAAATAAGGAGAGAGGGGGAGGCGGATAGAAGATGGATAAAGGAGAAGATAGGTGGAGAGGAGACAGACAGGTCAAAGAAGCAGGGTTGGAGCCAGTAAAGGTGAATGTAGGTGGGGAGTTAGGGAGGGGATAGGTCGGTCCAGGGAGGATGGACAGGTCAAGGAGTCGGGATGAGGTTAGTGGGTAGGAGATGGGGTGGGGCTTGAGGTGGGAGGAATGGTTAGGGAGGCGGGGACGAGCTGGGCTGGTTTTGGGATGTGGTTGGGGGCGGGGAGTTTTTGAAGCTTGTGAAGTCCACATTGATACCCTTGGGCTGCAGGGTTCCCAAGCGAAATATGAGATGCTGTTCCTGCATCCTTCGGGTGGCATGATTGTGACAATGCAGGAGGCCCAGGATGGACATGTCGTCCAAGGAGTGGGAGGGGGAGTTGAAATGGCTCGCGACTGGGAGGTGTAGTGGTTTGTTGTGAACCGAGCCTCGGTGTTCCACAAAGTGGTCCCCAAGCCTCCACTTGGTTTCCCCGATGTAGAGAAGACCACAACGGGAACAGCGGATACAGTATACCACATTAGCAGATGTGCAGGTGAACATCTGTTTGATGTGGAAGGTCTTCTTAGGGCCTGGGATGGGGGTGAGGTGAGGGAGCGGTAGGGACAGGTGTAGCAATTGCTTCGGTTGCAGGGAAAAGTGCTCGGGGTGGTGGGGCTGGTGGGGAGTTTTGAATGTTGTTCTCAGGTTATAAGTGTGTGCAATATTCGTCACAGAATGGAAAGTAATTAAGGCAGTGCGAACGCACAGAGCGCCGGTTAAGATGAGAGTGACTGTAATTCAACTCACTGAGTGAATGAAGTCCAATGCCAGCATTTGTCAGTGTGAGGTGTTCATCCGGATCACTGTCCAGTTGTGAGTGGCCATCCTGAGATTCAGCTTCTTCAGTCATAATAGCATCGTAATCTCTACGAATTGGATCTTGGAGGAAAAGATTATTATCACTGGCACAAATTGTAACAAACAACACCAAGAGATGAAACAATCAGATCCGAGCCGGAAAAAAAACACTAGCTCTGAAACGTGGGATTAGAAGAGTTAGTTCGTCCCCAGGACATCTGAAGTCACGGCATAAGCACACATGAGCAGAAAATTCTGTTTGTTTTCTCTAGAAATTAGGAGTTTAAGGGAATGTGATCGAATTCTTCCAGATACGTTTTTTAAAGAAAGTCAGATAAAGACTAACTTTTTCCAATTGTTGGAGATTCTAGATCTCGGAAGAATAATCTCTGACTTTTGGTTAAGCCTATGAGGAGATATCATGGAAGAAGAAAGGTTGGTAGAGATTTGGGACTCTCTTCCTAAAGAGACAGTTGATGTTGTCTCGGTTGTTAATTTTAAATATGAGACAGTTTACATTTATCCTAGATATCTGGATTTAGGCCACATAACTGACAACCACGATCTCATTGAATGGCAGAAGAAGCTCGAGGGGATGATGGCTCAATCCTGTTTTCTATTCATAATTTTCCTTCGAGCTGAGCACACTCCTTGGTAGGCAGGCTTGAGCTGCATGAACTTGCAGAGGACATAGGTGGAGTCAACAGGACGGAATTTTCTCTTTGGTGGAGAGATCAACGATTAGGGGCGTAGATTTCAGGGAAAGAAAAACAATATTAAAGTGGATGTGAGGAAAATTACGTTCACTTAGAACCTCGTGGGAATGCGGACTACACTGCCTGGAAGTATGATGGATGCAAAAGAGTCCGATTACATTTAAGAAGTATTCAGAGGCACACTTGCGATGTGAAATCAAAAATTGCTCTGAGTCATGTGAATAGAAAACAGGATAGAGCCATTCATCCCCTCGAGCTTCTTCTGCCATTCAATGAGATCATGGTTGTCTGTTGTGTGGCCTAAATCCAGATATCCAGGATAAATACAACCTGTCTCATATTTAAAATGTGATTAGAATATTTAGGTGGATGTTTTGACAGGCAGTGACTTGATGGACAATGTCAACGATCATGTCGTTACAAACCAGCGATTTTGTTTTTTTTAAACTGACAATGCTCATGAAAGAGCCAATGTCATTCTCAGCCTTGTGAGCGTTGACATCTGTAAGTTTGCACTGCAGACAATGTGAAGGGCAATAGTAAGCTAGCCCAAAGTGAATACGTACACACCTGGAATACTGTTGGATTTCACCTCAGGATTTTGTGATTCTGGATTATGCTCACTCACGTTGTGGTTGGTGTAGTTTTCAATGAGATTGAGTGAGCCAATGGAAGCAGAAGTTCCTAAAAACAACAGAAATGGAGAGTTGTTATCAAGTTTAATCTCCTCGTAAAACGTGACCCTTTTGAGTTGCAATGAGATGAAATTTCTTGAGCGATTTGGTGGTGAATCTGTGGAACTCATTGACACAGGAGGCTATGAGAGTCAAGTGAGTGAATAGCTTTAAGACGGAGATAGAGTGTTTATTAATTGATAAGGGTATAAGCACTTCCAAGGAGAAGGCAGACGAAAGAAGTTGAGAAACATATCAGCCATGATCGAATGATGGAAGAGACTCAATGGGCCAAATAACCCAGTTCTGCTCTTATATCTCATAGCGTTTTGGACAATGGTTTAACGTTTTATGTTCTTAATTGGAGCTTGAAAACAGAAGGCATTATTCTTTCATCGTATCTATAGCAATAACTGGAATATTGTCAAAGGAACCATTTCTGGGAAAGCATTCAACACACAGATTGCAGTGGTGCAAAGTAAATTGAAATGCCATATCACTGGAATGAGAGATGGGAGACAACCTTTAGCCCTCATATCGAACAGACACTTTCACAGACAGTAAACTTAATGACTTAATTCGTAATCTCTACCATGGTTTCAGAAAATATGAAAAAATAATTAGAATGTCTTCAGTTTCGTCAGCAACGTCATTCGTTATGTCTGAATCGATTTTAAGTGTTATTATTCCAGTGACACAATGCATATTCCTTCAATCTATTAAATGTCCTTTAAGCACATCTGATTAATGTTACGTGGCATTCTTTGAGAGTCATGACGAAGATTATATTATTGTACAATCAATCAGGGAATGGATTTAATGTTCCAAAGTCTGAAGACCTCAGTGTGGAAGTAGGGTCGCATTGGAAAAGAATAGTTCTGCTCGTGCATACAAATAAATGTCAGAAATACTTTTTTCAATAACGAAATTGTCATTCTTACTCTCTCCAAACACAGACTGAGATTCATTAAATGTGATATCTTCCTTCACACGAGGACAGTGATTTTACACATAATCATGTTCAATCAGTTCACTGATCATTGAAATTGAATGGAAGCCACATTTCTCCAACAACGACTCACTATGAACGAGGAAATGCATACCTGTGCCATTTTTCTGAACCGTCTCCTTACCAACGGTGATATTCTCAATTTCTTCATAAATTCCTTCGTGCAAACCAAGACTTGAGCCTATTCCACCAGCGTAAAGGTCTGTTGGAAGAAGGATAGATTGGTCAGCATTTGTAAATGAACATTTGCAGCAACACTGAGTTTTTATGTGAGCAACACCAGTGCGAAGCACTTATAGTTCATGCAATTCAGGAAAGCATAATCTTGGCACAACGTTAACAGATTAGTGAGAGCAGCAAAAATTTTGGAGAGGAAGTGAACAGGCCATGAGACATTTTCATGTGTCATCACTATCCGAAACGTAGTATGATAACAGACCGTGTGCGATGTTGGTGGTTTTGATGCATGTTGTCAGCTCTGTTTGAATGAGGAATCATCATATCGATATTCAAATGTTTATTTTTTTTAAAAAAAACAGCTCACAATGGTCCGTGTGAGGGAAAATGCAGTCCATAGAAATCGAAACTGCTTAAAACAAGGAACAATGACAAATACTTTTAAGATATGGAAATGAGTAGAAAAAAAACGTGGAGGACTGTGAGGAGGTTACAATCAATGTTGAAGATAAAGATCCCGTCACCCCGCCCCCCAACCTCCAACAACAAAAACATGTTTCGATAGCAATACTTAAATTAGAATTTGAAAATTGTAATCAGACAAGTGTATATTTGTTGGAATTAGTTGGACATGATATCTGAGAGAAATAGATTAAGGAGAAAATCATTGATATTGTTAATCACAGACGAAGTGTGTACGTTAAATTGCTATATGTAAACTAAGCTTAAGACACAATGAAAGGCATAGAGAATAATTATTATTCGTATTAATCGTCATCGGCCTCTCTTGGAAAACCGTTCCGAGGTAAATGCTTCTAAAGCAGTGTGAAAATTGAATAAATAACAAAGTGTGGATTTGCAGCAAAACAGCAGGTCAGCCAGCATCAGAGAAGCAGATAATCAGCCAGTGTCATTCTCAGACCTGTGAGCGTAACGGGGCGGGACCCTTCTTCTGCCATGTCTCCACACTTTGTAATCTCTGACTCCAGCATCTGCAGGTTTTGCTATCTCAGTAAAAAAGTGAAGAAGCTTTGTCTGGCTCGTCAAGGTAAACGAGCTGTCGGATGATTGGAAGTCGCTACAAAAGGGCACTAAATCCTTTCACTGATCTTGGATAATTCCATCAGCACCCAGAAACTGACTAACCATAAACGAATCTAACTGATAAATAAATAATTCGAGGGAATCGGCAAAAGTCTCAGTGAAACTTGATAACATATTGCTACAATCTATAATATGTTCTGGAGTATTCTACCTTTCACTCCAAGTTATATGTGGCGTTTCAATGGGAAAAGCCCCTTGAAGAAATCAAACAGCGAGAAACGGTCTCACACTCGTGACAAACAGGCCAAGAGACGGAAAATTGCAAAAACCATCAACAGCTTTGACACTAGAAGGAACAAGAAAACTGACTGAAGTGGTAACTCAATCCGTAGATGTGAGGCTCACCTTTCATTTGTAATTTTCTCTGCATTACCACCAGTAGTGCGATCAAATCAAAGATTAACAGAACTCCCAATGTTAAGCAGACGACAACAGGTATGGAAATAGATTCACTTTCCTGTCCTTAAAGAAGACATTATAGAGACATTTACATAACTTAGAGTCTACCTTGTGTAACAGTAAAGAATTCGTCAATGAGAACACACTGACAATAGCATTAAATTCGTGAAAATGCCAAACAGGATCAAGTCAGGAACGTAACGCTACAACAAACATTAATAATCGTATCAATCATAAATACCTGCAGGTGAAGATGAAGGAGAAATCGTCAACAATTCGGATTCTGTGGAAGAGATTGTACAAATGCTCATGAAGGTGAAATTTAATACAGGAAGACAAACGCTGGCACTAATTTGCAACATTAATGATCACAACTCGGAGTTGCTCAGCATTATGCTTACCAGAACAGATCACATTGGCAATATCCTTGTGATTACACTCCCTTTGAGCTGGTGCTGGGGAGAGACAGTCAGACAGAGAGTATTCAATTCCCTTACATTTCACGTCATTCTGCCATATCACACCCTCACCCCGGGAGACAGCGGGCCCTCCTTGGGCTGATACAGCGAAACCGCATGCCAGCTGTCTGCAGACAACATTGGCATCAGTTATATCCCAGGAATCACCACACAATGTGCCCCAGCGTTCATCGCACAAAATCTCCACTCGCCCAGAACAGTTGCTGTTTCCTCCAACAAGGCGCAAGTTATGTTGGGAATCTGTGGCACAGAACGGATAATTACTGAATGAAGGAGAAAGCAGCAATATTATTCCGAGAGTTCGCATCTTCATGATGAGAACGCACCTGAGTTTTGATGGCAGGAATTTGAACTCAGAGGCTGCTCCTCCCTCACATCGCTCTCTGTTAAGAGGAGAAATATGCTGACTGTATTGGAAATCAGCACTTAAAATGAGACCCGAATACTGAGAATATTTGTCACGTTACCTGAACAAACAACACCTGCATCTTCTCTGTGGTTACAGTTGTGTTGACCCCACAAATCTGACTGACATTGCCAGAGGGTCGACTCATGGGATAGACACTCTATCTCATCAAGCCAAATCGGTCCTGTTCCTGCTCCAAAAGACCTAATGTCATCACCAATATACTGGAATGCACCACAGTGCAACTGTTTGCAAATAATGTTCCCATCGTGTGAATTCATTTTGTCTGAGCACACTGTTCCCCAGGTCCCGTTGTAGAACACTTCCACTCTTCCTTCACAGCGATGCTTTCCATTCACTAGTCTCATCGCCTTGTGCTCTGTTCATACAATAACAGATATTCAGATTAATAGATTGTTTAGGACTTTCGTGCATCGCTCTATGTTACCCTATACTTCCAACACTGATGTCCGAAACGAACATCACGCTTGATAAAGAAACAGGAATTGCTGGAGGAACACAGCAGGTCTGACAGCTTGTGTGGAGAGGCAAAGCAGAGACGGCATTTATCGTACAGTGACACTTATTCTGTACTGAGGAAACATCGACTCTGAATTGTCTCCAGATATTCTGCCAGGCCTGCAGAATTTCTCCAGCAATTTCCGTTTTTCTTTCAGATTTCCAACATCTTCCGTTCCTATTCCTTTTTTTCTGTTCGTAATACATGATGTAGTTGATTTAATTATTGAACGAAGTTAGGGAAGTATACCTCAGGAGTAAGCCGAAGATGTGTAGAATTGAGAAAAAGCAATCACTGGACTCGTTTGAAATGACTGAGCATGCGAAATGGCTGAGGAGAGGAAACTGACTGCAAACACAGAGTCTGTTTGGAAAGCAGTGTGTGTCAGATTTTCAGAACAGTGGAAGTGACGATGTACGAAAACTATTGCTCAGTTTGTAGCTGTTTTATGAAGACAAATTGGAATATTTTAACCCCAAGACAATTTCAAATGCCCCAGTTGAAAGCAAACTATGGAAACTATTGCTCAGGATAATCGTTAAAATCACAAGTATCGAGTAATGAATGGGCAGTTTGGGAGCCCGACGGGTATGATATAATTTTAATACAGCTATGCTTAATGCGGTGAAATCTGGTGGGACCTGTGTAGAGGACAGGCACTCCTTGCTCCTTGAGTCATAAAGAGTTTGTGGGGCAAACAGTCAGGAGTTAAGATTACCATGTCTGAATACAAAACTTCAGAGTAAATGGAGTATTTTTTCAAGTAAAACGTTTTAAATATTTAGGAGAATATTTATGTAACCCAGGGGAAGGGACAATGGACCACCAATGACACATTCAATGCTA